TGTTGCGATATCACCCAATGATCCAATGATACCATACCTGCCAGGTAACACGTGTAAAGCTATGATTGGTCAACATAGTGAGGCAGGTAACAAAACAACCAACAACATGTGTAAAGCTATGATTGGTCAACATAGGTATTACCTTATATGGTCAGTATGCCTTATATGGTCAGTTTCCTTATATGGTCAAATATGCAAATACATAGCCTTATATGGTCAAATGTACCCAAAAGGAATGTTTCCTCATACACCCTAAACCCCACCCTAAACTTGCACAATAAAAGAGAGGGGCAAAGTTTGCTCTGGGCTTCCTCTCCCAAGAACATGCCTTTGTGTCCTTGTCTTCATTGCCTCTGCGAGAGAAGCCCGTCCGGGCAGTCGGTCCGGGCGTGGGCTACCAGCTGACTCCTCATCCCTGCAGTGGGACCAGCAACGCATCAGTTTTCATTGCCTCTTAATAGGATAGGAATACCAAAATAGTTTTAAGTATTGGAGTATTCTATTAAGTACTGAAGGAGAGAAAGATATCAGCAGCAGACAGGCAAAGCTCTACTAGACTACAGCTCCTTTTTGGTCCTCAGGTTTCTCAGGTTATGAACCTACTGTCTCTGAGATACACAATCTCATAGATACAATCCTAGAAGACAAGACAACAAATATTTTGCTTCCTGAACTCTTTGGGGGTGTATCTTAGATATTTGACTGTTGATCACAAAAATAACTTGTAATTTAACCCATCGCCTACTGTTTTATAGAAATCTCCTGTTTTTGCTGTTACTCCATGTGTGTGTGTGTGTGTGTGTGTGTGTGTGTGTGTGTGTGTTAAGTTTACTAATTTTTGCTTGCTTTGTGTAGCTCATGCATGTCCAGGTATACACTCGGGGCATATTGCATAATGTTTGTGGAATTGATAGCTTGGGAATCCAAGCTTGGATGAATAGTACCTAGAATGGCTGTAAAAGCAGTTTGCATGCACAAATGCTACTGATTTCACTGATATCAGTTTCCAAGTATTTTGATGCTATTGCTCTAAGGCATAGAATTGTCCATACATGTATTTTATATGACAAGCAACCCAATAGACTTGCTGTTGGACCTTTGATGATAGCAGAAATGTGTTGCCAAGGTTGGAACAACCTTGAAACATTCTGCTACATTTGTGGTGAGTACACACTTAAGCCTCAAAGACACTGCACAGTTAAGAACGTGTACAAACTGTAGTTTAATTGTAAGATTGATGATGAAGAGAAGGCCTGGGCTTCACACATTTGTAGTGCAAGATGTGCTACTGGCCTTGGACCTTGGCTCAGAGGAACTCAAAAATCAATACCATTTTCTGTCTCAATGATATAGCAAGAACAGAATGATCACATCATGTGACTAATATTGCTGGTTTCTCTTCTAAAAATAAGAAATCAATTAAATACCCAATCTCTCTTCAGCCATGAGATCAGTGATGCCACATGATGACA